GTATGGAAAAATACTTACATGGGTAAGCGTGACAAACGTACCAATATGTTGGGTCGTTTCTTCTCAAACACCAATCTATCATAGGCACAAAAGGAAGCCAGTTTGGGAGGCCCTGGCATGGATGATGCCTACTGCAGGATTATCTCTAGGACGAAACAAATCCCCAGCCCAGTGTCACCAGGGCTCTGTGAGGGGCGGACGTGGATGTTGGTGTTCATTCATTCTTCAGCCAACTTGGAATTTCCCTCGTGCACATCATAGGACCCTCTAACTGTAGAGAAGAGCTGAGCAGCGGCCTGCGTGTCAGTCACTCCTTCAGGCTCCCTGCTGTGACACCCACCTCCCTTTAGCAGGAACACAAGGCCTCAATCCTCCCCTCTCCTCCCCTTACACAGCGCACACAGGCTAAAGCTTGCAAAACAAAACAGCCGAATCCTAGTAGGCACAAATGAACGTGCTGCCGAGCCTGGGCACAGACCTCAAAGCCCAGCGCCGGCTGCTCCCAGGCCGGCCCCACCCAGCGCTGAGCTCTGGATTCCCGGGCTGGCGAGGGATCCCAAGTAATTCGTGGGCCTCGCCCATCCCTCCACTCAGAAGGATAATATGTGACCATACAGTTTTCCTCGCCATTTATAAAATCCCACAGCTTTTGGCAAGGAAAGAAGGAGGAGGAAGAGGACAACAAAGAGGAGGAACAGGAACAGGAGAAGGCGAGGAGGACCCCAAGCTGGAGAAGGAGCCCCGAGGGGCACCTCCGTGGTGAGGAGCCCGACTGGAATGTGGTGGCTCAGACAACCTGAGGATTCTTGCCAGCCGCTGCTTCTGAGGCTGATCAGGACGCACTTGTCAGCTAGTCCCTTCAAGCTTGTCCCTTGGGTCCTCGGCCACCTTCCAGACCCAGTGCTGCAAGGGGCCAGTTGCTCTGAGACGAAGAGCCCCGGCCCGGCACTCACCGCTGTAGCACACAGGAAGCTGAAGAGCAGATGGCAAGAGGAGGGGTCGGAGCCAGTGAGGGTTAAGCCCAGACCCAGTGACCTGAGACTTTGGCCTCAGTGAAGCTTTTACTGCTGTCACCAATCTGCCTGGAGCCTCCCTTCCTGGTACCTGCTGACGATGGGCCTGCAGGGCCCTCTGCCACCCAACCCCACTCCTTCATCTTATCAGCCTTGTTAACACGACTTCCGTCCCACAAGAGCTGGCCTCACTGCTCCACCCTGTCCCCCTCCCTGACCTTCTAAACCCAAGCCCAGGCTGCCTCATAAATTGCGGAGCTCAGAAGAAAATGAAAACCCAAGGCCTCCCTGAAAAGCCCAGGGTGGTGAGGCCCCAACCTCAGAGCACCACATTAGCTCAGCCCTCCAAGGTCGGGACCTGGGGAGACCAGGAGGCCTCACTCAGACACGCCCAGTGGTCCCTGCACTAAGGGCCTGTGAGGTTGCATGCAGACTCTTCCCCGAGGCCCTCCCTTGCCCATCCTTGAGGCCATCCTAAGTGTGTTATCAGAGTCTTAGGTCAGACTGTGGGAGTCCCAACAGAGCAGGCTCGGCCCCCCCTGCCCCCAGTTGACCAGACAGGAGACCAGCAACAGTAAAGCAAAAAAGGGTTTATTCTCAGCACCGCCCCATGGGGAAGACAGGTCTGAGTGCTGTCTTTGGGGTGTCGGCAACAGCTTTGGGGTAAGGCAAGAGCTGAGGGGATTTGCAGAGCTGGCCATCTTGGTCAGGTCGGGTCTGGTTGATCATGACCCTGGCACTGGTCCTGCAAGGTCTCGTCACCAGGGGAACCGCTGCTGCCTGAGAGGTAGTTTCAATTTCCAAGTTTCCATCCCAGCGTAGATACTTGTCTATCCTGTGATCCTGGAATCAAGGTAAACCAAAGGTGAGAATTATTCAGAAAGGAACAGGTCAGGGAGAGACAAAATGGTCAATGAGGAGGAGAAACAGGAACAGGAGAAGGAGAGGATAAGCCTGGGACAGGGAGGAATCCAGAGCTACTTAGGAGTCAGAACAGATAGAGCTTCATAGTGGATTAGGTACCTGCAGGAGGCCAGCCTCCATTCCTCTAAGGAACTTCAGTCTTTGTCATTCTGTAGCGTTAGTTTACTGCTGGTGGTGTCTGTAGTCAACTACAGATGGACAGGGCCCTGCTGGCCAGCAAGACCACGGCTTCCCCCAGCAGGACCCAGCGCAGGCTGCCTGTGGTTTTGGAAGCCTTGATTCCTGATGTGGCCAACAGCTCACTCTGGCGGAAAAGAGAGACACTTGAACAGAAAACAAAGATCTTTAAAAAGAGAGAAGGATGCATGAGACACTTTCTTCAGCAAGTTAATCTGTTCCTAAAACAGATGTGAACTAAAAAGTCTCCAATCTTATGGAACAGAACAAGAAGAAAAATCTAGAATTGCTAATTGGTACTCACTGCAACTCCCCGCCCCTCCAGGACTCCAGGAGGCCCCTGTGTTACATGTTTGCATCCTCCCACCCAGACCAGTGGCCAGGGTGACTGTGGTCATAGGGTCGTAAGAGTGAACGTTGAGTGAGGGGTTTCTATGGCCACAACACCAGTTAAGTGCCTTACAGTCATCTGATCTCCTTTGATCCAGTCAATAACTTTATCATACCTTGATCATCTGTTAATGCTCCTCATTTTATATATTTTTATTAGTGATATGGATTTTTATTGGTGCCTGATAATTACACATAATAGTGGGATTCCTCGTGTCAAGCTCGTACATGCACAGAACAGAATTTTACCTCCCTTTCCTTTCCTCCTCCCTCCTGCGGTGCACTTGCTCCGATCCTCTCTAATATCTCCCTTCTAATATTATTATTATTATTATTATTATTGTTTTAATTAGTGCATTATCACTATATAAATATATATGACTCATCGTGCTGTGTTCCTACATGCACACAGCATAACGTGGTAGACCATTCCCCGTACTTCCCTCCCTCCTCCCTCCCTCTCAATTCCCTTCCTCTACTGTTTTCCCTTCTATTTTTGTGAGATACTTCCCTTCCCCCCTTTCTCTCTCTCTCTCTCTCTCTCTCTCTCTCTCCTGTCCACATATGAGAAAACACATTTGAACTTTGACTTCCATCCCAGCATTTCTGCCCAAGGGCTCCAGCAGCCTAAGTGTTCTCGGGGCCTCTCGTCAAGGCCTCTTCCTCCTAGGTCTCCTTGGGTTCCCTCAGGTCTCGCTTTACTCCACAGTTCAGGGGCCCAGGCCACCCGCGTGCTCATAGCCTCTCAAGGCCAAGCCGACAGTCCTACCCAAAGCCTTGACACAGCAGGGACCAGGCAGGGAGGTGGGAAAGGGACACCCCTGCAGGATCTGAGGGGTGTTGCTCTTGCGCTTGTCTCCCTCCTGGGAATCAGGTTCAGAAGCTCATCCCACAGGAACGCCAAAGTCCAGGGACAGTGTCCAGATGAAGTGTCCCAACGGACAAGCACAGCAGGCTGGGAGGAGGCTTAGCAGAGGGAGGAGCTCTGGAGGGCTGCAGAGGCAGGACAGGAATAGTGAGGGAGGGCACAGGCTGGCTCACCAAGGAGGGGAGTTCCTGCCTCTCTGGGGACAGGCAGAGACCTTTCAGGAACGCCAATGCCACCTCTTATCATTCCTTTTGTGTCCTGGTATTTCTGGCCGTGGCCACGGGTAGCTGTCTTCAGCCTTTGAAGAGGGAGGAGAGAGGCTAGGCAAGAGGTCAAGTTCACCCTGAACTCTGGACAAAACGTCCCTCAGATGACCAACATGTCTACACACAGAGCTGAGTAGAATCTAACCCAGAGGTTAAGGCAGCAAAGGACACAGCACAACATGAAGACAGAGAGGCCACACCTTTCCAGCCATCCCGTCACCCATGGACATCTGCAGGCCCAAGTGAGAGCCCCCATTTATAGCAAAGTGGCCTTCAGGTCCCTAAAGAGTTAACCATCCACACCGTAGCCCACACATCAGAGGTGGGAGACCAATACTGTGCTGCCCACCGTGTGATCTCCAAAGTTGGCGCTTTTTAGGACGATTAAGCAGGTGAACCTAGAGGATCTGCTTAGGTTTTTCCGATAACAACCCCAGCACAGCCCGGGCAGTGCCTCTGCCCAGGAAGTAGGAACCTGGAGCTGGGGGGAAGGCTGGGCCGGTCACGGGGTTCCACACTCACTGTCTGCCAAACCCAACAACCAGGATTTCAGACTCCAGAAGGGAAGCGGGAGGGGTTCCTACACCTCCCCTGTTAGCACAAACATGAGCAAGCTGGGCCAAGGGAGACCACTGAAAGGTCCAGTTCCCCCGAAGCCAGCCAAGAACCTGCCCTGCTTCTGGCCTGGGCCTGCGCCACTCTGTCCCCTTATATCTCTGTGGACTGCCCATGGCTCCTCATTGAAATGCGAGCCCGAGCATTGTTTTACCATGTTTGTTCATGGAAGAACGCCTGCAGAGTGTGTCAACATTGTTGAGTGAACAAATACTATCAAGAAGAAAGCCACAGCTGATGGCCCAAACCCTCTGTCCTTGTCAGAGCCCCTGCTTTTGTGAAATGGGAGGATTTTCTCTTTGCTAATCAGTCTTCCCTAATCAGCGCCCAAGCCTGTGATGTGGGCTTGGCAGAGGTAAAGGTCTAATCTAGTGGAAGCAGCTGTGGCCCTTTCTTTCAAGTGGTTCTGTGAGAATGATCCTGCTGTCTAGGTTGTCTCATCTGATCCGATGAGCAGTATCCTTCTGAAACCAAATATCAAGATTTAGCCATGGGACATCCATAAGCTGAGATCTGTGACCAACTAATTCCAAGATTCTGAATTTATCTTCTCATTGCAAGACCCGCTCCCAGGACTAGACTGCCTGTCTTCTTCCAGGCACGGGGTTCTTCCCCTTTAAGGCAGGCAGGATGCCCAGAACATAAAGGGTACAATCTTTGCCCAAGTGTTATCTGTAACTGTCACCAATCATTAACCCCAGGAAGGGAGGGACTGTATCTCAGAAATCAGGATCACCTAACCACAGGGAGGGACTGGCAGCCAGACGTGCAGCCAGGGAGCCCGGGCAAGAGAGGAGTCAGGCAGCAGAGCTGGAATCTCATCAAAGTTCCCCCAGCACCACGGACCTGAGTCAAAAGCAACGGCTGTGCCTCAGTTCTGTTGTGGCCTCTCTTAAAGGTTTCTTTCTCCTGGGTCTCCCGGGTCCCTCTTTACCCCACATTTCTATAAGCAACACAAGAGGTCCCTCACGCTAACCTCCTCCCCTCCCCTGCCCCAGTTCAGCAACCCAAACCCATCACATTCCCCCAGAACCGACCATTCTGTGTCCCAGGAACAGCTGCTCATCTCAGCTCTGTCACTTACTCCCACATGCCCCCTACCCGGACAGTGCTCCTCCTCCAAGGTCCTTGACCACCGCAAGCCCCAGGCAGACTCCTCTGTGGAACTCCAGGGCCAAGGACACCCACCCCACTGGGGACACAGAATTCACTCACCTGCTCTGGGCTGGCCAGGCACCTGTAACATCAGTGGCATAGGAGGCAGAGGCAGGAAGATCCCAAGTTCAAGGCCAGCCTTAGCAACTTAGTGAGACCCTAAGCAATTTAGTGAGACCCTGCCTCAAACTAAAAAAAATAAAATAAAATAAAAAAAGGACTTGGGATGTAGCTCAGTGCTAACAGGCCCTGGGTTCAATCTCCAGTGCCACAAAAAAAAAAAGCTCGGGGCCCAGCTGTCCACAATGCAGCACGTAAATAGGGTGTGCCGGATTGTATAGTGTTGTCCCCAAATTCATGTCCATCCCAGGCTGCAAAGTGTGACTTGATTTGGAAATAGGGTCATTGCAGATGGGTTAGCTAAGATGGAATAGGGTGGGTGGTGACTTAATCCAGTGGCAAGTGTCCTTATAAAAACCGAAGAGGCACGGGGGGACACCACATGAGGACAGAGGCCGAGGTTGGAGTGAGGCATCGAAAACCAAGGAGCCAGAGAGATGCCAAGGTTTGCCAGAGCACCAGAAGCTGGAAGAAGCAAGAAAGACGCCCACCAGTGAGCCTTCGGAGGGAGCCAGCCCTGTGGCACCGATTCCAGACTTCCGAACTGTGAGCGAGTCATTTCTGTTACTTTAAACCCTCTGCTGTGGTGCCTGGTTAGCAGCCCGACGAGGCTGATGCAGAGGGAACCCCAGGGCTTGGGGGGCTGCCGTCGTGCCATCTCCTTCCAACCCCACAGGCCGGTTCTCAAGTAGCCCTCCAGTCGTATCTGTTCATGCTACTAACTCTCTGTAGGTCCTCCGTGCGCCCTCCAATTGCCCTCCAATTCCCAGGCCCAGGCGTGAGACCTGCGGTGCCTGATCCCACGGCCGCCTGCACCCTGGGCTGACGACCTGCCGGCACTCAGCCTGTCTCCTCGGGTCCTTCTTTCATTTAATTGTGGACATTCGCTGAGGAATTGAGCCAAGTGTGATGTCAGGCCGGGTGTTACCTCAGAGGCCCAGGCAAGGCCCCTCTCCTCCCTCTTGTGTGTGTGTGTGTCTGTCTGCCTGTGTGTGCGCATGCATTCTCACCCACATCCCTGGCCAGGAGGCGTTCTAACGCGTTCAGTTATCCTTCTATACACAGGAGCCCTTGGGAAGGTCTCAGGTGGCTTCGTGCATGGGTTTTAATGTGTGTGACACATGCTGCTGTCACTCACCTTAAGACCCACCCTTGTGAGTTGCTGTGTGGACGCCCACATTTCTGCATGCACAGCTTCATGGTGTGCACTGACCACCGTCCCAGGGATGGGCCCCTGGTGGCCTCCAGCTGTCCCTCCCCACGGACAGCTCATTCCTCTGTCCTCCCTAGCGGCCTGTGTGGAAATCTCTCTGGCACATGTCCCTGGAGGCAGGCCTGCGGGTCTGCAGGACATGCCGTGATCTCGTTTGTTCATGCTCTGCAGACTGCACTCCGGGATGGCTGTCCCGTCTATGTCCCCTCCCCACAAGCCACACCTGAAGTTCCCATTTCCCCACATCCCCTGAAGCACTTGGCCTCATCCAGCTTTCTCATTTCTGCTCATCATACGTGTAAAATTACATCTCGTTGTTGAATACCTGGAATTTTTCTAATAACCACCACATTTTTCATGTCTCTTTAGCCCTTTCTGTTTTCTCTTCTGTAAGTTGCCTTAGAGATACTTTTCCCAGGTTTCCATTCGAGTGCTGCCTCTCTCCAGCTGATTCTCAAAAGTTCTTTGCATATCCTAGGTAGTAGACCCTTCACTTTTGTTTAAACAGTCTTGTTAAGACACTACTTAAACATCTTACAGTTCACCCATTCAACGTGTAGGTACCGATGGACTATGGTACATTCACATAGAGGTACACACATTGCCAGTCAATTTTAGAAAATTATCATGACCTCAAAAAGAAACCCCTTGCCCACCAGCTCCTACACCATCCCGCCAACCCACCCAGCCCTCATAAATCACCAGTGCACTTCTGTGCTCTGCATAGAGATTTACCTAATCTGGACATTTCATATAAATGGAACCATACAATAGGTGGTCTTTCATAACTGGCTTTTATTCATTTAAGAAAATGATTTTAAGGTTCACCCATGTTATACCCTGTTGATAAATTCCCCTTTTTTGTTCATTACTTTTTATAGCTGAATAATATTCCATTATATGGATCTACTATATTTTGTTTATGCACTTAACAGTTGATAAGCATTTGAGTTTCTTCTACCTTTTGGCAATTATTAATAACACTGCTATAAACATTAGTGTACAAGCTTCTAGGTGGAAATATGTTTTCATTTATCTTGGTTATTTACCTAGATGTGGAATTGCTGGGTCATTTGGAAGCTCTATACTTAATCATTTGGAAAGCTGCCAGTTTTCCAAGTGCCTATGTTTTCCATTGCCGCCAGGTGGGTAGGATCCGGCAGCACTTAGTCTATCACTTTTTTATTCTGGCCATCCTAGTGAGTGCGAAGTGGTATCTCACCATTGGTTTTTAATTTTTCACTTTTAATTGACACATAGTAATTGTACATATTTCGGGGGGTACAGTGTGGCCTTTCAATGGTTGTGTAAATGTGTGGTGAGTACAGTATTAGGCACCCCTGTCATCTCAGACACTCGTACTTTCCTGGTGTTAAGAAATCCTGATTTGTGGCAATGTTTTAGTCAGCTTTTTCTGCTTTTGTGACTAAAAGACCTAACAACAGGAATTTTAAAGGAGGAAAAGTTTATTTGGGGGCTTATAGTTTCGGAGGTCTCAGTCCTAGGTAGCCAGCTCCATTCCTCAGAGCTCGAGGTGAGGCTGAACACCACGGAGAGAGCGGGTGGAGGGAAGTGGCTGGCGTGATGGGCAGGAAGCAGAGGCTCCACCTGCCAGATACAAAATATGTGCCCCAAAGCCACACCCCCAACACCCCTCCTCAGCCACCCTCTACCTGCCTCCGGCCTCCACTCAGCGAATCCCACCAGGGGATTAATTCACGGACTGGGTCAAGGTTCTCACAACCCAATCATTCATCCTCTAAATCTTGCATTTTCTCACACACCAGCTTTTGGGTGGGGGTGCAGGGGACAGCTCACATCCAGACCATAACCAGCAACATGAACAACTGAGGAGCATTACATTAGGTGCCAGAGGCCAGGCACAGAAGGCCAACATGGTGTGTTCTCACTCACGTGTGGACACAAAAACGTTGATCTACAGAAGTAAAGAACAGTGCTCAGGGAGGAGGGAGGAGGGGTGAAGGGGACTAAAACCTAAAGCTTCTCCAGCCGGCAGGGTTCCAGGGTGTGGCTGGGCAGGAACAATGACTCCTGAAGTCCCACAGCAGAGAAGGAGAGCTGCAGCTGCTGATGACTCACTGAGTCTTCCAGCCTCTTTAATGGCGGGTTTGAATGTCCTTGTTGTTTTGATCTTCGTTTCCCTGGTGACTGACGATCTCTTCGTGAGCTCCCGTCCCTTTGAACGTTTTCCTAGGAGGGATGTCTGTTCGGATCCTTTGCCCGTTTTTAATTGGTGTCTTTTATTCTCGAGCTGTGAATTCCTCATATGTACTATGTACTTTCATCAGATACATCATCTTCAGACATTCCCCAGCCTGCGGGCTGCCTTCTTGCTTTCTTGTTAGTGGCCTTCAAAGCACTGATGACATCCAGTTCACCTGTTTCGTTTTGTTTGTTTTGTGCTATTTTGGGGCTTTGGGGTAGCGCCTAAGAAGCCCTTGCCCCGCCCGAGATCAAGAATATTTATTCCTCTCTTTTCTTCTGAGTTTTGTGCCTTTGGCTCTTGCATTTAGGACTTGTTCCATTTTGAGTGGGCTGTTGTGGTGTGAGTTGGGACCTGTCTTCTCCAGTCTGTCTTCATGCCAGTCTCTCTGTCCTTTGTGGAAGACAAACAGGTCAGACTTCTCAAAATCAATTTGTCCCTCTTCTGGCCCAAGCTCTCCTAGCTCTCCATGGAGATGGTGAGCCCATGACAGAGAGTCCCCAAGTGTCCCTCCTAGGGGACATGAAGAGTGGAAAATGCAAGCTTCCATCTTCACTGTGGCCATCATCATTTTGGCCTTTAAAGCTAATCCCCCTCCAGAGACACCAAAGACCTTCCAGAATTGCAAGTCCAACATGGAGATAGGTAATCATTTCCGTCCTTCATCTAGCTGCCAGGACACACTGACATGACTTCAACGCCAGCGTTCTCGTGAGAGATACAAGAACACAAACACATGATCAGATGCCATCTCTGAGCAAGCCGCCTCAGTGACCAAGGAGATAAGGACCTCTGGTTCTTCCTAGCCACGCTCTTTGGCGGACTGTATGCTTGTCCCTCTACCCCGGAGCTGCTCCGGCCTCATCCATGTTTGTTAGATTAAGGTTAAGCTCCCCCTAACTGGGCCCTTGGTTCTGTCCCCTCTGTGCAGAGGTGTTGCCTGTCCCCAGCTGCCCTTGGCCTCTGCTCTCTGCCTTAGCGAACCTGACTGTCTTGCCCCCCAGCTGCATCCTCCCTCCTTTCTGAATCCTGTGAGGTCCCAGAGGTGGTGACAAAGGTTTCTTAAGTCAGTGGCCTCTGTGTCTCTGGCTCCCTGTTCGGCCTAGGGGTTGAATTCCCTGTCTTGCTGTGGGTGTCAGCTTCTTGGTCCATATGTCTGCTCCAGGTGAGTCTGTCAGCCCGTACATCCCCCCTGTCCTCACTTCTGAATTGTGACACTGTGTACACAGATTATGGTATTGCATATTTGAAAAAGAGGAAGCCAAGGACAGTTCCCGGGGAACTTGGCACTGTGGCAAAATGATAAGGAAACACAGCAGGACACGTGTTGTAACTGCCAGCGCCCGGCACCCCCCGCTACCGGGGAACCCCTGAGAGGGAGGTCCCCACCTTGGTCGGCCCATACCTCACCCTGTCCCTCCCTGCGGGGCGGGGTCCAATAGACTTCAAGAAGATGTCAGGGGTCAATGCCCAGGAACAAAGTCTGACAGAGAGGCGACTGGGAGCCCAGCGCACAGGTGCGTTCTGATGGGGCATGAGAGGGGGCTGGCAGGGAAGGGGACGAGCAGGGAGCCAGGGGCAAGAGAACCCTGACACAGAGGAGGAGGGCAGAGGTGCCAGAGCCCAGAGCCCGGCTCAGGAGGCTCCAGGGTTCCTGGGGGTGCGAGAGGGTGCACGAGGAGTGGCCAGGGGCTAGGGGGGCACTCGTGCTTCTGTGAACAGCTCGGAAGGCTCCCGGGCCAGGCGGTTCTCTGTCTCCGTCTCCACCTCCCTGCTGCACTGGAACGGAGGGTGGCGCTGGAACAGAGGGTGTTGCTGGGCAAGGTCAAGGTCCCTTCTGCATCTCCCTCCTCCTTGGCAAAGCAGAAAGAAATCTGGGGATGGAAGGTTGTAAAAAGGGAGGCCCCCCGTGAAGGGGCAAGGAGGTCCCCTAATTACACATGACTAAGTGAAGGGAGCCATCTGACGAGGCCGCATGCTGGAGGGACATTCTGGAAATGGCCAAACCTGAAGACAGGAAAAGAGCCGTGGCGGGCAAGGGTCGGGGGGCGGAAAGGATGAATAGGCAGAGCGCAGGGGGTTTCAGGGAGTGAAACTACTCTGGGTGACACGGTAAGGGTGGACACATGTCCATTTACATTTGCCAAAATCCACTGGACTTCAACACCAAGAGTGACTCCGAGGTAAACAAGGGACCTGAGAGATTGTGGTGGTCACTGTAGGTGCATCAGCCGTAACTGGACCACCAGGGACGTTGATAGTGGGGACTGGGGAGACAGGAAAGAGTGGGAGCTCTCTTACCTTCTGCTCAATTTGCTACTAACCTAAAACTGCCCCCAGAATGAAACACGTACACTTATACGAGAGAGAGAGAGAGAGAGAGAGAGAGAGAGAGAGAGAGGGAGAGAGAGAGAGAGAGAGATGGATGAGGGGTTGGCCAAAGTTTAATGGTAGAACAGGAGCCCAGCCTGTACCCTGCTGGCCCTAGCTTCACCCAGCAGCCCCCGGCTCACCCACTCCCTTCAGGTTGGGCCTTGAAAGCACAAGGAGTTTGGGTCCCTAGGCCATCCCACTAGCACCAGAAGAACAAGACAGGGCCACTACCGGGAAGTCCCCATGGTGAACAAAACCAGAGCAACGTGAGAGTCAGGGGGTTGGGATCTGGGAGACCAGAGAGGACTTCTCAGACAGCCTTGACTGTGACCACCAGGGCCACCAAGGCCAGAAGACCCAAGGAAAGAAGAGCTGGGGCTCCCAGGAGCCCACCAGCTCATCCGATGATAGAATGGACACAGCAACCACTTTTCACTGACCCATGCATCAGTGTACAAATTAAAGGCCACAATGCCGAGGGGACTGAGTGGGGAAGTGAAATAAGCTTGAAAGGCCCAAGACAGAAAGCTCCTTGGCAGGGTTTAAGCCAACTTTGAAAGGAGGCATAGGATGTGAACTTGACAGAGAAAACTAGGCGGGAAAGGAACACGGCGGAGCTGAGCGTCTCTGGAGGGTGCATTGTGTTCCTAGTGCTTTTGAGTCACATAATTGACGCATGAAAGACTTTTTCCAAAAAGCAAAAAACTGCAAAGCGCCCGGATCTCAGGTTCCCTTTCTCTGGTGTCCTCTCTCGCGTGCCTGATGCAGCACCAGGATGCTTCCCTTGTTCCAGGGATGCAACTGAGTCCAGCCAAGTGCACTGAGTCCCAGCACCCCGCCCCCACTGGTGGGGCTCTGGGCTGGAACAGGCTGAGCAAGGCAGACCCCAGACCCTCTGCGCCTCTGCCTGCACAGGAGAAAGGGTTTGCTCCAGATTCAGCCCCAGGGGCTCTGGTGGGGGAGACAAAAGCAGGGACCTCTAGGGGCCTTTGGCCATTCATATGCCAAGTTAGGGTTCGGGGCCTCTGCACCTAGGGCACCACCTGGCGGGTAAGGCCCAGGGAGACTCCAAACCTTCAGGAAGTCGGTGGCAGGCAGCAAGAGCAGCTGTCCTGGAAGGAAGGACAGGTCTCTGGTAGCATCCCAGCAAAGCCTGACCGCAGTTCAGGGTCTGGGGGACCCAGGGCAGGGGGACGGTGACAGCCAGTGGCTGCAACCAGCATACCTTGCAAGAGCTAGGGTCTCCCAGGGACTCTCGGCACAGCAGGTCTAGCAGGTGGTTCCACCCAGGAACGAGAGAGGACAGAGAGGCAGCCACCTAGGTCTGCTCTCAGCTTCACACACAAGACTTTACAGGTAGCTGGAGAGGGTGGGTCCCTGATCACACCCTTCTCCCAAAAGGAAACGGGAAAGGGCACCCCACCAGGTGCCTTCTACAGCTGCAGGGGTTAAGAGACCGCGACACAGCTGCCCCATGGGGACCAGAGAAAGCTGGACAGGGCTGGCCTCATCCTCACCCCAGAGCCCCATCTCAGCAGAATCACTCAGCAGAGCTTGAACCCTCCTGTGCTGGTGTCCACAGGCCGTATCAACAGCGTCCACTGTAAAGAGGAAGAGTAGCCGGTGCTTTGTGTGTGTTTCCCCTAAAGCCCGCATCACTCCAAACATTGTATTACCTGTGCAGTTGTCTTTTCTCCACAGTCCTAGGAGGTAGGTGTTGCTGTCATTTCCATTACGTGGAAGAGAAAATGGAGGTCCAGAGAGTTTAAGCAACATGCCCCAGGTCACACAGCCAGTCCTAAAGGTGTAACTTATCAGAATGCAAACCCAGGCAGCCTGACCCTTTAAACCTACCCTTTAAACTTCTACGCTAAATTTTGAAATTTATCTCCCTAAAAAGTATTGTGTTGCAAAAAAACAGCAGTTTTTCAGTCAATACAGCTCTTTGCCTCCCAAAACACAGCAAGCACTTTCTGTCTTCTGAGGACCAGGCCTCTGGCCATGGTGACTCAGAGTACCCTTGGCTGAGGAGCCAAAGGGTACAATGGGAGCGGGTGTCTAGGAAGAAAGCCCATGAACTATAAGAAGTTTGTGGACAAAAGAAGAGAGAAAAAAAATTAAAATCCACAGTCACACAGCCAGGGACCTGGGCAGCACTGGGAACCATGCAGGGGGGCCACAGGGACCCCAGCTGCCTCTGGCTTGGGCTGGGACAGGAAAACCATGAGGCTAAGGGGCATGTTGTCCACGGTGTTAGCCTGACACCAACCCACTTTCTCCCTCTGCTCTGCTACATTTCAGAGCCATGGGGAGACAGAGCCTGGCACTGGGCTGGGCAGTGGCCACCGTGCTCATGCTGCAGATGGCCGCGGAAGAGCGCCCGCCCTGGACCCTGCACGGCAAGGCTGAGGTGTTTGCAGACCTCAGTGCCCAGGAGCTGAAGGCCGTGCACAGCTTCCTGCAGGCCAGGAAGGAGCTGGGGCTGCAGCCCTCGGGGTCCCCGAGCATGGCCAAAAACTCTGTGTTCCTCATTGAGATGCTGCTGCCCAAGAAGCAGCATGTGCTGAAATTTCTGGATCATGGAGAAAGGCGCCCCGTTCGGGAAGCCCGAGCCACCATCTTCTTTGGAGCCCAGGAGAACCCCAATGTCACCGAGTTTGCTGTGGGGCCGCTGCCAAGTCCCTCCTACCTGCGAGCACTGTCGCCCAGGTCCAGGCACCAGGCCTCCTGGGCCTCCAGGCCCATCTCCAAGGTCGAGTATAAACTCCTCCTCCACACCTTGCAGGAGGCCACCAAGCCCCTGCATCAGTTTTTCCTCAACACCACCGGCTTCTCGTTCCAAGACTGCCAGAGCCGATGCCTGACCTTCTCCGACGTGGCCCCCCGTGGCTTGGCATCTGGCCAGCGCCGCACTTGGTTTATCTTACAACGCTTCGTTGAAGGCTATTTCTTGCACCCCACTGGCCTGGAGCTCCTTGTGGATCATGGGAACACAAATGTCCAGGAATGGACAGTGGAGCAGGTGTGGTACAACGGGAAGTTCTACAGGAGCCCAGAAGAACTGGCTCAGAAGTATGCAAATGGAGAGGTGGATGTGGTAGTCCTCGAGGGACCGCTGCCCAAGGGCCAGGGGGACGAGAGCACAGAGGAGCCGCCCCTCTTCTCCTCATACAAGCCCCGTGGGGACTTCCCCAGATCCATCAGTGTGGGCGGCCCCCGGGTGGTCCAGCCCAACGGCGCCCGCTACCTGCTGGACGGCAACGTGGTGCTCTATGGCGGCTGGAGCTTTGCCTTCCGGCTGCACTCCTCCACCGGGCTGCAGGTCCTCAACCTGCACTTTGGGGGTGAGCGCATTGCCTATGAGGTCAGCGTGCAGGAGGCAGTGGCAATGTATGGAGGACACACACCTGCGGGCATGCAGACCAAGTACATGGACGTGGGCTGGGGCCTGGGCAGCGTCACTCACGAGCTAGCCCCTGGCATCGACTGCCCGGAGACTGCCACCTTCCTGGACACTTTCCACTACTTCGATGCAGATGACCCTGTCCTCTATCCGCGAGCCCTCTGCCTCTTTGAGATGCCCACAGGGGTGCCTCTCCGGCGCCACTTCAATTCCAACTTCAATGGTGGCTTCAACTTCTACGCAGGTCTTAAGGGTCAGGTGCTGGTGCTGCGGACGACCTCCACCGTCTACAATTATGATTACATTTGGGACTTCATCTTCCACCCTAATGGGGTGATGGAGGCCAAGATGCATGCCACTGGCTACGTCCACGCCACCTTCTACACCCCCGAGGGGCTGCTCCACGGCATGCGCCTGCACACCCACCTGCTCGGCAACATGCACACACACCTGGTGCATTACCGCGTCGACCTGGATGTGGCAGGTAGGACCCCAATCAGAAGCTCTGGGTCAAACATGCAGACAACCAACAGGAGGCACCCAGGAGACAGCACTAGGACCCCCGGGGATAGGACCAGGGGCGTCTGCCCAGCAAGCTCCTGTGAAACACGCAGCTAGAGACCCATGTGCCTCTGAAACACAGTCTAAGTGAATAGAGCCCGAGAGTCACTCAGGTGCCACTATGCAGACCTGTCCTGGTGCTGGGGCTGAGTAGGAAGGTGTGCATGGAGTAGGGGAGGAATGTCACTGCCTGACACCTTGAGGTGGGTACAGGGCCACCTGGGGATACTCAGTGTGTCACCGCAGGAGAACCGGTGCAGTGCCCGACATCAAATCCCATAACAGCACAAGGTAATCCAGACCAGATGGGCAGCTTCTACCCACTCAGTCCCACTTGCCCCTGTGCCCAGACAGCACTGGACACAGTCTCTTGTGCCTGGAGGAAGATGGTGTCCTTCTCTGGGGTCATAGACACTGCCAGTGATCTTGAGCACAACCCTTGAGAAGCTGCACATGACATTGGAATTCCCCAGTTGCCCTGACATACCCAGGAGCTGTCCCCTAGCTCCTCTGGTTTTGAGGATTGTTATTGTCCCTTCCTGCCTCCCGCAGCTAGCCCAGTGCATGCGCCAGCACCTTTTCCTGGTGTTGGCTGTTGGATGGGTCCAGGGTGGAGATCCTGAGGGGCAGGGGTTCTGTTCCAGGGGCCTGATTCCCTTTCTCCCCTACCCCCCCTCCTACCCCCAGGCACCAAGAACAGCTTTGAGACACTAGAGATGAAGCTAGAGAACATCACCAACCCCTGGAGCCCAAGACACCGCCTGATCCAGCCGACACTCGAGCAGAGGCAATACTCCCAGGAGCGCCAGGCAGCCTTCCGCCTCGGACGGCCTCTGCCCAGGCACCTGCTCTTTACCAACCCCAAGAAGAACCCCTGGGGCCACAAGCGCAGCTACCGCCTGCAGATCTACTCCTCGGCTGAGCAGGTGCTGCCCTTCGGCTGGCAGGAGGAGCGGGCCATCACCTGGGCCAGGTGAGAGGATCAGGGAGGCTGGAGAGGGCCAGGGCTCTCCTCCGTGCCTGTGTCTGTCTGTGCTTGTCCCTGAGGCTCTGTGTCTCTGGGTTGTGTCTGGGTGGCATCTCGGTGCACTCAGGGAGGGGTGGAGAGCTCCAGGGGACTCCAGGCCCTCCATGGGCAGCAGGCATGGGGAAGCAGCAACGTCCTCCATCATTGGAGGATGTTCCCCGAGAGGCACTGAGAGGCCGCCCCTGCCCCTGGAGCCACCCAGTTTCTCCTCGGCCTGGCAGGTACTCCCTGGCAGTGACCAAGTACCGGGAGTCGGAGAAGTGCAGCAGCAGCATCTACCACCAGAACGACCCCTGGAACCCCCCTGTGGTCTTCGAGGAGTTTCTTCACAACAATGAGAACATTGAGGATGAGGTACTGCCCAATCCCACCCCTGCCCCCCTCTGACCACCTTACCCCCAGAGAGTCCTAGCCTGCCCCCCATCCCAGGAGCACAGCTGGCTGTGTGGAGGGCATGTTCACGCATCTGCCCATCTGCCCATCTCTTCAAAAGGGAGCTTCAGGGTGTCTCTGGAAGTATCCAGGCACAACGAAAACGCCCCGGGCCAGCATGACCTACAGTGACCAATACTGGACACTACTTACCCACTGATGCCCACCCTCTCTCCCACAGGACTTGGTGGCCTGGGTGACCGTGGGCTTCCTGCACATCCCTCACTCAGAGGACATCCCCAACACGGCCACACCTGGGAACTCTGTGGGCTTCCTGCTCCGGCCCTTCAACTTTTTCCCAGAGGACCCATCCCTGGCATCCAGAGACACCGTGATTGTGTGGCCCCGGGATAAGGGTCCCAACTACATACAGCGCTGGATCCCTGAGGATCAGGACTGCTTGAAGCCTCCCCCCTTCAGCTTCAATGGGACCTACAGGCCTGTGTGAGGCCACCCCAGTTCTGTCTGGAAACCTGAGAGCCCCATGGGGCCGACAATAAACTCATCAGTGTCCAGCCCCGTGTGCTGCTTCCTGGAAGGTTGGGGAGACACACACATGGTAGGACATGTGGGCACCTCAAAAAGACCTCCATGACCAGTGCAAGGGAAGCTCACCAGGGTGCCAGAGTTATGTACCAATAGGTTTTTTAAAATCTAAACTGTCCACTCCCTCTTGGGGAGGCCATAGGGGAATTCTCCCATGGTAACGATGGGCTTGCAAAATGGCGCCACCATCGGAAGATGCTATGGGGAAACCCAGAGAGTTACCAGCATCTTTACGCAGGTCCAGCTCCTGGGGGGTTATCCCCAAGGTGAACCTATGCACACAGGGAAGACAGATGTGTTGCCAACTGTAACAACACACGTCTCCAGCTTCCCACCAACAGGAAAGGGTGGCGGCCACACAGCCACACAGGGGGTGGCGAGCCAAGGATCTGAAGGAGGGCACTCTGTGTCAGCAGGGACACCTGCAGGGTAGAGTGAGGGAAGAAAGGAGGCACCGACCACAGGCAGAGGAGGCCAAGCTTCACACAAGGAAGGAAGGGAGCCGCAGAGACCCGCTGTTTCCCTGGGGAAACGAGGTGGATGAGAACAGGGCTGGCAGCAGGATTTCTCAGTAGACGCCTCTCTGTATTGTGTTGGGGGTTTGTGTTGTTTTGTGTTCTGTTTGTTAGTCCATTGGGTTTCGGAGGGAGGGGAGCCTAGGGAGAGCGAGGGGAAACAACAGAGAGGGCTGGGGACAAAGCAGAGCTTCCTGGACTGCACACTGGGAGGGGCAGTGTCTCCTCCCTCCTCCTTGAGGGAGCCACCAAATGCCCTGGCCACTGGCCACCTGTCCCAGTCAGCTGTGGGAACCCGGGTGCCATCGCCCTCACCCCGGCCATTAGTTCTGTTTATTTTGAATCATGAGAAGGTATCTCCTACTCAAAAAACCAAAACTCTAAATTTTAGGAGGGGGAAGAAAGACAAAGTTCTTCTTGCTATCAATGGCACTGCAGTAGGTGACCAGGGTAGGTGAACAATGCCACCCTCAAAGTCATACACATCCTAATCCCTGGGACCTATGTGTCATCTATGTGGCAAAAGGAAGAAACTGCAGGTCTGATTAAGGCCGGGATCTTGAGATGGGAAATTAGCCTGGGTTCTCCGGGGAGGGGTAGCTGGAGGTAATCACGGGAGGGAGGCAGGAGCTCCGAGAAGAGAGCTGCTGGCCTTGAAGATGGAGGGAGGGGCCACAAGCCGAGGGATGCGGGCAGCCTCAAGAAGCTGGAAAAGAAAAGGAAACAGACTTTTCCGCAGAGGCTCCCTTAGGCGCACAGCTCTGAGGCCCTCTAGAGCTCCACGGGCATGACTGACCACAGGTGGGAGGGAGTTGGCTTACAGCGGCCACAGGAACTCATACAAGGGTGGGAAATTCCTGTGGGCTGGGGGCTGCTGACAGAGGAAAGTGGAACCTCACACTGTCCCTCCCACCACCATGACACCCAAACCTGCTCAGAGCTGTCACCACACAAGCCCCAGTGGGGACCTGCCCACAGGCACTAGGGCATGAAAGTCTAGGGGCCGTCAAACCCACAGTCCCACAGAAGAGAGGCCAGACCTTCTCTGCCTCTGAGAAGGCAGAAAGGAAGGCAGAGCTTGGCACGGTCTACCCAGCCAGACATTTTTAAGGGGATCAGAAGGCAGACAGTCAGAACCCAGAGGACCTCACGCACAGAGCCGCCCCCAAGCACGCAGAGGGCAGTTGGGGACTGGCTTTGCTTTCTGTCCTCTAGTTGTCCGATGACATTGTGCATTCAGTGGTGCTCACTGGTACTTGCTGCGTGACCGAGAGCCTAGGAAATACAGATCCCAATTCCACGCCCCCTTGCATCCTTCCTCCTCTACGTGTTGAGTTTGTGTCCCTTGCCCCAAACAATGATTTTGGGCCACAGCAGCGCCACCCACCCCAAAGGGGATGGCAAGAGGACCTGAGCCTGACCCCTAAGAAAGCTGCCCTGAGAATCCCGGGGACCCATTCCTTCTCTTGCAGGCCCACGTCCAGGGGTCCGCACAGGCCCCCATTCCCAGCCTCTTTCCCTGGTGGCCCCCGGCTTCTCCTGCTCAGCACTCACCTCATTGCTTGTCCTGCTGCTAGACATCACTCAAACCCCAGGCCTGGCCAGGAGACAGCAGAGGAAGACAAAGCGCCTGTTCTCAAGACACCCAGTCACAAGGGGAGATGAGGCAGAGGGACAATGCCTGGAAGCCTGAGGGGTGCCTCACGAGGAGGTGGACGTCCTCATGACAGACAGACATCTTCTGGTATTTTTGGCACTGTGTGTTTTTTGACTGCGTGGCCCTCAAGCTACAAGCAGCCCCACCTGGTCGGACGCTGAGTGGCCTCGTGAACTCACTCAGCCTCTGTTTATTGTGTGACCAGCCTTCTCCACGGGGAACAGGGCATCCCCGGCCCAGAAGACCAGCTCTGTCCAGGCAGGTGGAATCTGGCTGAGCATGATGTGCACATGGGAAGGGGGACTGTCCCTGGTGTCCAGGCCTGCTCAGGTGAGAGATCTGAGAGCAGCAGGCACTCTCAGCCCAACCTCCAACCATGACCAAGAGAAGGGGGCCCCAGAAGCCAGGTGGCCTGGCAGTGCTCATCCTCCGCCTGGCTGGTCCTCTACAAACTCAGATGCCCCCAAGAGGCCCCAGGTCCAGCCAGATGGCACGGTCCACCCAGCCAGCCAAGGACTTCCTTGAGAATGACTCCGGCTCTTGTAGGACAAGGACAGAGCTCTATCAGCTGGAAACACCCATAAGAGTGGAGTCAGCCAAGAACCCTGGGCCTCTGACTTGTTTCACTGAGGCTGTGCTCAAGGTCTTTGTCTAAGCCTCAGGTGGCCAGGAGGCCACGCCCTCTATTACCACACCCCTCTGCCTTTTGGTGACATTAAACCATTCTCCTTGGTTCCACCCCCTCTAGAACCACATGTTCCTCTAATGTGTGAGCAGACCTCTGCTGACCTCCAAGCTAGAGCCCACCCTGATCTGGGCCCACCAGGAGCAGCAGCTGACTTGTGGGCCCCAAATGAAAACATCGGCCCATGGCCCAAAATTATTAGGAGTTTCAAGGTGGTGACAGCAAAGCATCAACCCCCATGCTACGTCCCAGGCAGCAGGTCCTGCTGCTGCTCCCACAGCTTGCCTCAGCCACATCCTCAGGACCCTGTTTCCAATAGGAATATAGCAAGGCAGCACATAGTCTTCTCATCAAACCATCTTCTGCTTCTCAAAGGAAAATAAGTATATACTAAATTAATATGCCAGTTGTGGCAAAAAAAAAAAGTCATTTTAACTAAGTTCAAGCTTATGCAAAATATAGCAATTGAGCCCTTTAACTTATTTTGGCAGTCAACTCTTTCACCAAAGACAGGATGAGCTAAGCATTTTTCCCAACTGCAGGTTCCTCAAGGATTAATCCTAAACGCTTGGCCTGCCCTGACCTATTTCTCAGAGCACATCTATTAATTGTCCCATCAACCTCTCCTCCTTTGCTCTGCCTCTCCCAGTTAGGGCAAGTTGTCACCATACGTGTGGTCCTTGACCTGCTCTTTTGAACTGCACATACTCCCTGTCCTAGGGCCATTTCAAGTTCCAGGTCCCATAACCTGGAATTCCTTTATTATTATTATTATTATTATTATTATTATTATTATTATTATTATTTGTTATATATGACGGCAGAATGCATTACAATTCATATTACACATACAGAGTGCAATTTTTCATATCGCTGGTTGTGCACAAAGCAGAGAAATTTCTAATGCTGAAGCCAAGACAAATCCAACAGTAAATGTATTGGCTGATCCAAGATTTGACCAGGAAATTAGAAGGATGCTTACCAAACCCTCATGCTCATTCCCTGGGGACCCCAAGGGGGTCTGCAAAATTCACAGTGCCCGCCATCACTGCCTGAGAGTTGGTTCCAGGTTAGCAATTACCCACCACTACATAACAAACCACCCCAAGTTAGTGGCACAACATAATATTTTACTGTGATCATGAATCCAGTGGGACAGGGACTCAGACAGGACACTCTGGAGATGGTTTGCCTCTTGGGATGGTTAATTTTGGTTGTCAACTTGACTGGGTTGAGTGATACCTCACAATTTGATAAAGCACTCTTGTGGCTGTGTCTGTCTGTGAAGGCGTTTTCAGAGTATAGCGGAGGGTGGGACAGGAACTAGTGGGGAAGACACACCCTCCACGTGGGCGGCACCATCCATAGACTCTGCCCAGATGGACGAAGGAGCAGAGGGGTGAGGCTCTCCGGAGCATGCCTGGCCTTCACGGGTGAGTGCGGTTTTTACTGCCGCCATTGCCTGTGATCATCAGACTCTAGATTCCTCAGCCTGTGAATGTGGACTTGCACCAGCAGCTCCAGGGAGCCTTCAGGACTTCCTTTTGGACCAGGGCTCCAAATCATTGGCCTCTCTCTTGCTCTGAGGCTTCCAGATTGTTGGGCTGAGCATCTACTGGTTTCCCTGATTCTCCAGCCATGAGACAGCCACTGTGAGACTATCCAGTCTCTGATCAGGGAAGCCAATCTAACAAACCCTGATTATAATTATGTGTGTGTGTGTGTGTGTGTGTGTCCTCCTCCTATTGGTTCTGTTTCTCTGGAAAACCCTGACTACTAATACATCTCTTACCTGAAGATGTGAAGCCTCAGATGTGAGGACTCAAAAGCTGGTAGTACCTTGGATTCTATTATGGAGGAAGGAATCATCTGGAAGCTTTTGCCCTGGCATCTGCTATGGGGCAGGCAGCTCGAAGGCTGGGCTCACGGGGGCTGTAGATTGAGCACCTATGTGTGGCCTCCCCGTGTGCCTGGGGCTTCCTTGCAGCATGGCAGCTCAGAGAATTCAGACACTATATAGAGACTCAGTGCTTCAAGAATGGATGTTCTAGCAACAAGGAAGCAGCATGCCTCTCTTGATGGCTCCAGAAGTCATACCACTTCCCTTATGCC